AGAAATTTGTATGTACCTACGTATTACCCAATTTCTTTCGTTGCTCATAAATAAAAACTTTACATATTTAGTTATAGTAAATTATTTTATTGAATAAATACAGTTTCCCAAAGGACAATCAAACGAAAATGAGCTGATAGGCTGTTAAATCTTATTTAGCTGTTTTTTAACTTTAGTCCATACAGCCGTAGGAAACGACCCGCCACACAGTCAGTTCAGTCGTTTCATATCGTGATGCGTTCCATTCTACGCAAAAAACTGAAAGAAAACACACGCTTTGTTTTTCGATTTAATTGAAAGTTTTGATAAAAGGCCCCTAAAAAAGTCCGTTTTAACACTTCTAGCCCCTAAATCTGGGGGCAAAACCCCTAAGTTGGGAACCGTGAGTAACTTGTCTGTTGATAAGGTTTTCATATTACTTTTATAACAACGCCACAAATTGTTTGGTTGATCTTTATCAGGTCACATTATATTTTTGATTGTTATTAAATAAACCGGCCGAGGGCGACTCCGACTCGCGCACCGAGGGGTCCGTACAAACCTGTAGGTACATAATAATGATTAAAAATATATGTATATGTGATGTAACTAAAAATTTACGGTTTTCGCAATTTTTCTTTATCTGTGCTATAAGACGTTGATTCATAGCAAAGGACATCGATGAAATCGGCCCCAGCATGCACAAACGAAAGTCCTTCACTATTATTTTTCTATTATTGAAGTTATACTACTTTAGGCGCGTTATGAAAAAATGATGAGAGTGAAAGTTTTAGATGCGCGCGCATCACTGTAACCCAAAAGTAACAGCATGAAGTTGGCCGCGGGCGCGTTATGAAAAAATCATGTGAGTGAAATTTCGAGATGCGTGCGCATCACTGTAACACAATAGTAACACCATGAAGTTGGCCGCGGGCGCGTTATGAATGTTAGTATAATGGTGGATTATAGTAATAATGGTGGATTATTAACCACTAAGTGGTTAATAATCCACCATTATTAGACATCTGTTCGAAAGGTACTTTGAACGATCCACGGAGCTCCTTATGATGATCGCGTTTTCAAAAACAATGTTGGCACGCTCGTCGCCTCTGATCACTGTTTTCATATTTATAATATTTATCCACATGTTTCTAGTTTCTTTATAGACACAACGTGTTTTAGTTACTTACAATTGCTAATTACATATGGACTAATAACTTAAATTCAGTAGTGATTTTAATTGAATATTTTGAATATTTATTTAATTTTTCAAATTAAAACTGAACTTAATTGACTGTGTTAACTATCCTTTTCCAGTCCTTTTATTATTTTATTGTAATTATTAATTATTTGCATGCAATTAAAAAATATTTTTAATGATGCTAAAGAAGTATAACTTCTCACGCGCGTACATAAGTTACACGCATCCATTTTTTTTTTACTTTATTAGCAATTAATTATAGTAAACGGACATTCTGTTGTAAATATTAAAAATTAAAAGTTCTGCAACTATGTACTAGACAATTTGCTGTCATGTCATCTTTAGCCATAAGAGACTGTCTCAACTAAATTCAAAAGTTTCGCCAATAATGGTTCAAAAAATGATTTCAAATAAAGTGTTGTTTTTTTTAATTCTATTCTATTCCATTTTGAATAGATAGCCTTCATAAATGCAATATACGCGACCGTAGGTATTTATCAACATAAGAATAATACTACGTACCTACCCTCTTTCGTTAATAATACTAATAATAAATCAGTAGTATTTATATTTATAAATAGATAATTACTGAAATTATGTAAAGATAGTTTATACTCCCATCCTATATTGTATCTGTTTATTTTTATAATAATCATAATGATAACTAGGTATCTACATACCCAATTACCAATAATAAAATATAGAAACAGGTAAATGGAAAGCCTTTGAACATTTCAGGTAGGTATAGGTGCCAACTGCCAACACTCATAAATAAATATGAATGTAAGCATTTATTATTTTTATTATTAATTGCATTTTATGTTTATTTAATTCATATTATTTAAGTGCTTACATAGAGGTAAACAATAAATCTATTCAGAAAATATAAAGTGCACATCGTTTACGATTAAGTATAATAATTATAACCTCAAAATCTAATACATTCTGTAGTAGGCCACGGTTCATCAACTTGTCCGTATTTCAACAAATGCTTAATGAGAGTTTATGAATGATTCCGAACACAACTAGCATTTTCTCATTGTTGTGCGTTCTGGGGCATTCAATGTATGGGGAAAGAGCAATGTCCTTTTAATATTCTGGGTTTACGGGAAGTACCCTGTAGATTTTGATTCCCTTGTGAGTTAGCGAAAATTTGCATAATAAACGGCTGTATCTTTTGATTGCGATGGCTTAGAAGTTTGATTTTTCACAGCTCCAAGGGACAGTTGACTTGAGTATTTGATATAAATTTCAGCTTAATATCTCCACGCGTTCCTGAGAAACAGGGTCTTGACAGACGGACGGGTGGACAACAAAGTGATCCTATAACGGTTCCGTTTATTCCTTTCGAGGTACGGAACCCTAATAATCAGACCTTACCAATAAGCATCAATGATTCAGTGGTAGAAAGCTCGCCTGCTACACGGGTATCGATTTCCAGCTGAGAAAGGTTTTATTAAAACCACATAAAGGACATGGTAAAGTATTGTATGAGCGACTGCCCTGGCAATGTATAATAGGGAAGATGCATATATAATATTTATGAAAATTTTATGATTAAAATGTTAAAAAATATAAAAGAAATGCCACTGCAACGTTTTTATTTTACATAATGTTGTTTTTTAACAATTATTACGAATTAAAATACTTGAAACGGAACGTATTTTAAAACACCAATCAGCGTTTAGTGACGTCACTCCTGTTATGATAACTTCTTTGAGGTTATGGTTGTTAAAGTAAATATTATTTTATGGGAATATTTATTGCGTTTTTTTACATTTAATAAAAATGGAAGTTGCGTTTATCAAAGCAGACTCCAGGAATTTACCAAGAGTTAGCGTTGACATGGTTATAACTTTTTTTGTCCAAAGTGCAGAGTTTTTAAGTGTAGAAATGAAAGGGACTAAATTACTACGGTATGTAAAAATCGTAGTTGTTAAACTTCGTATTTTATTCAGCGGCTTCTACAAATCTTACGGCGATAATGCAATCGGCTATGTCCAAATTAAAAGGGATGGAGAATTATGTACAGTAAAAGGTCGAGTTCTCCGGAGCATAAAGTACGTAAAGAAGGTTATCGTGTTACAGTTATTTTAAATGAAACGCAAAGCTTGGTTCAGTCCATGTGAAGATTGTGCCACACATTTTAAACTTTATCTAAATTTCGACGTCATTCTCCAACTGTAAAATTAAAAATATGTTATAGACAGGTTTTGTAAGTATTAGGTAGGTTACTAATACGTTTTTACGTACAAGCAGATTAATTAAGCATATAACAAGTATATTCGCCGACTTACGTCAAAGTGATCTTCTCAGCATCGAATAATGGTCTATGGAGAATAATTATTGTCATTTCTCTTCGCAGCTTGAAACCACTTTTTTCAGTTTTGGGTCAGAAGTTCCAGTCAAAAACAATTTATTTGGGAACTTTGTTGAAGTAGATTGGCACAAAACATGAGTCAACAAGGCTTTTTTTCGGAATATTAGTGGTATTGTTATGATCACATGATGTTGATGGATAGTCCATAATAATTTTTCAAAAAAATATTTCGAAATTCGAAAAAATATGCAAAAGTATGAAAATTTAAAGCCAGCAACGAACAAGTACGACCAGTGACAGACAGGAGTGACGTAATCGTAATAAATAAATCACAATGTTATAATTTTTTAATATATCTGTGGTTTATTCTACATGGAATTCTTAAAAATTAAATCAAAAATAAAAATATTGCATCTTCCCTATTACTGTACTTAGTAATATTTAATGTTAAATGGGTGTATATTTAAAATTTCTATGAAAATGGGGTTTAGGAACTTTTGATAAAGTCACATCTTGAAAATTATGAAAACTCCTACTATGTCATTACCTTACTACAGTTGATAAAAGATGTTGCCAATTATTATAGAAGCATTAATTTCGCATTTTCTTAGAACCTTTCTTCCCATTTCTATGATTAACTCTTCACAAAAAGTTTTTTAAAAGCAAAAATAAATACAAATAATTTGTTATCGTCGGCCCGACAGGAAATCTGTGAAGTTTTATTTGGTCCATTTGTAAAAATTAAAGGATTAATTATCATACAGCCGTGTCTTAAGCCTGATCAGAATAATAAAATCTATTATTTTAGGCCTTCAGTGATTTGTTATAATAAAAAATAGGGCCAAGTAAGCCTTCTAGTTTGAAGGAGTTTAAAAACATATTGCTTATGATTTTTTTTTTAAGCATTTAACTGCTAGATGTTTAAATCTAAAGAAAATCTCCTAAGCGTCGAAATTTTCCTAGCCTTAAGCTGCAAGGCAGCGCCATCTTAAGGCTAGGAAAATTTCGACGCGGCTAATAGGGCCGTGGTAGCATAATGGTCAGTGCATTCGCCCGGATAGCGGTTCGAGTCCCGTCCGCTGCCTGGTCCGCATGGATTTTTTCTAGTAAACTTTTCTTAACATATTGCTTATTTCGATATACATACACAAATATTATTTGTATACTTTTATTCTTCATTTATTCTGTAAAACGGAACATTTTGCTTTTGAAACAGACATGAAGTAAATTTTTATACTTCTAAATATTTGTATATTCCACGAAAGTTGTATGAGAAAAATAAACACGTAATAATTAATAAAAAAATATTGTAAAGTTACGGGCTAGTGCGAAATATTTATACACGTTAAGTTAGCCATGTCCGTTTCTTAGGAGAGATTTAAAGTTAAAATTTAGATTGAAAAACCATTAAGTATAAACAATCCACGCTTTAAGCAATCAGGATGTTTTTATTTATATCTGTAAATAAGTATTAATTTTTGATATTTTCTTTATTATTAGAAAAAGAACGTGACTTATGAAGTATTCACCGATTTGCATCCTCGTGAAGAATTGAAGACCCACTGGGAGAGAAGGTTGGAAGAAGGCGCTAAGAAATATAACCAGTTGGGAGAGAGCTGACCCTTAACAATACTGTTTTTAATATAAAATGAAGTTGTTTCATTTAGTTTCTTTAAGTACAAAATAAATTAAGTTCGATGATGAAATATTTTTATCGACTTTTCGTTTGAACTATGAAGGATTTCTTATTTTTATAGTCATCATCATCTTCTGTATCTATATATTTAAAACCCAAAGGTGACTGACTGACATAGTGATCTATCAACGCACAGCCCAAACCACTGGAAGGATCGGGCTGAAATTTGACATGCAGGTAGATGTTATGACGTAGGCATCCGCTAAGAAAGGATTTTGATCAATTCTACCCCCAAGGATATAAAATAGGGAATGAAAGTTTGTATGAAACTTTGTCAATTTTAAACCGATCGGGCTGAGACTTTGCATGCATAAGAAGAATCAAAGATGAATGTCATTGTGTATAATACAAGCCTGAGAACAAACACTGTAGTCTACACTTCAGCTCTACACCGAAGCGAAGCGAGGGCGGGCCACTAATCATTTAATAAAACATTTTAAAATTAACGGGAAGCTATTGGCTTTACATTTTTTTCAGTTGCCACCATGTTGGGCCCACGGAGCCCATAAAAGATACAAAATATTGAGAAAAAATTAAAAGGTTTACCCGTTCAAAATGTCTTACATTGAAATATCGTTATATCAACTTTCAATTTTCGCTATAACACGGCACGGCATGAATGCTATTGATAAATCCTTTCAAAATGATTATAGCATTTACGCCGTGTGGCAATAATGCGTCATATATTCTAGAACATTTTTTGTTCACAGTTGTTTGTTTGATTTATGCCGCATGACTACGGTGTATTCTTGTTATAAGAAATATGGCTTAGGTTGACAACAGATTTTCAATTCAGACAAGGGGTAAACGAGCAAACAGCTTACCAGGGGACCATTCGCCTAACGGGATTGCTTGGGAAAACGCTATCGCTTTAAATTTAATTTTTATTTCAGGTTTTCTAATGCCTCGCGCTCTTTTTTTACTTTTGCATTGGTAATAAAAATATTAAAGAAAATGAGGGTGAGGTATTTGAAAACCTTCGGCGGTCAGAAATAACAAAATGAAATCGTAAGCGATAACGTTTTCCAAAGCAATCTGGTTAGGCGAATGGCCCCCAGGTGGTTGATAAAATCGCCAAGTTGCTCTTGGATATCTGCTATACCAGTTCCCGTAGCATGAGCACCACAATTAACATTATTTCACGTTTTTCATCGCTCCTAATTGTCAGACTCCTTAGTAATTTGAAATTGAGTTGAACTTAAGCAACTTTCGCAGTGGTCGGTCATTGGATGGGTGACCAAAGATTACTATCTCGGGCTCCTCCGTGCTTCAGAAGGCACGTTAAACTGTTGGTCCTGGCTGCATCTGCAGTCGTTAGCACCCACCAATATGCACTGGGCCCGCGTGGTTGGTCATGACCCAATCTCCCCATTCCATCCTTAGGGAAGGCCTGTGCCCCAGCAGTGGGGACATTAATAGGCTGATGATGATGATGATGATAAAGCCCATCGTGATGTTCATTTAGGGCTGGAGTGTTTCAATTGTGTTTTGGAAATGTAGTTATGCAGGGTGGCGGAAAGAAACGAAGAGGTTTGAAAAGTCTACAATTTCTTTATCCTTGAATCAATTTATTTTTTTAATTAATATTGTAACACTTTATTAATGGGGGATTTTGTTAATTAAACGTGAAAATAACGTCGCGTAATTGGTATCCATTTTCTGTTTCGCAAAGTTGCGCTCTTTCGCACGTTTTCCATAACTTTTCTCTTCAGTAGCTTTCGCTCTAATTTCATTCCGAATATTTTTTTTTATTGAGGTGTGGTCTCTGGCTTACTCACGTACAGACCTTCTTTTAAATATCCCCAAAGGAAAAAATCTGGAGCGTTGAAATCCACCGAACGCGATGGCCAATTATTATCGATCTTTCTTGAAATAATGCGTGTGTCGAAAATGATGTCGATTCTGGCATGATTCTCTAAAGCTAAACTTAAATTTAACAACAGTGCATCCTTGTCATTCTCTATGCAGATTGACAAGGAGAGACTGATGTTAAATTTAGTTTTAAGTTTAGAGAATCACACCAGAATCGATACCAATGTCCCGGGTTTGAACGGGCACCACTTACGCGATCTAAATTTCCAGGTTTAAATTAACCAATTTCCCCATTAATAAAGTATTACAATTAAAAAAAAAATGATTCAAAAATGAAGAACTTATAGACTTTTCAAACCCCCTCGTATCTTTTCTCTATTTTTTTTTAAATCTTCTGCCTTACCCCAAAAATAATTAGGTGTACAAAATGAGTTTCTAAATAAAATGTCATATATATTGGGGGTAGCGGCGAGTTGAGTTCTCTTGCAATGTAAGCGGGTGTTCAAACACGAGCGACCAATCAGAGTAATCCAAACAGACATCACAGATGTCTGTGACGAGTGTGACACTACATGGTTCACAACCGTGTCTTTTTCTATTTTGTAGCTAACGTCCTTAGATTAAAACAAAAAGTAACGTCTAGTCTTTCAGCGCAGTATTAGTAATCTTAAACTCCTGTCGTTTTCTGCATTTAAACAATAGGTACAGGTTTTTTGCATTTCTTTTAACCGACATGTAAGCCGGCGTTCTACCGCGCAATAGGGTATTTGACAGTATTAAAAATAAAGTGCCAATTGTTAGCATCTGTGTTTAGAATAAATATAATATAAGGGGTTTTTACTATTTTTACAAAAAAAATATTCATAATTTTACTAAAAACCCACGAAAAAGATATTAGTTTTCTTATCTATTGTCACGTGACCCAAAACGCTAGGCATTGGCGGAGCCTAAAATGACGTCACACGCAAGTAAACTCCCGGTTGAAGTGACATTACATTGTATCGTTTCACGTTTTAATAACAGTCGTGTGACGTCACACACTAGTAAGACGCCATATTGTCCAGAGAAACGTTTTCGCGGCAACTTAAAAATGAAGTTTTTGATTTGTTATTTTTACTGAAATACACAACAGAATGATGAATATCCACTTTTTACGGACTCCATAAACTTTAGTCAATAACGTGAGACCGTTGCCTAAAACTTGTCAAATACCCTATAGTAAGTAATTACAATATCAGCAATTAAAGTTTATTTTCTTTTAATATAGAGACAGAATTCAGTGCTAATGGAATGCCTAAGCTAATAGGTATTCTTTTCACGAACAGCCCTTTGGATTTGAGAATTCCCTCCTTTCGCAAATCATGATGGATTCTCTAGATAGATTGATGATATTATTATCTTTCAGAAATGAGGTGTGAGGAGTTCGATGGCGCAGATAGTTAGCGCGTTCGGCCTACGATCGTAAAGTAACAGTTAAGCAACTTTAGCGAGGGTCGGTCATTGGATGGGTGAACAAAAACTTATTATAATTTTTATTACTTTTTAAAGCATGTAACTGCTTGATGTTTAAATCTAAAGAAAATATAACTAAAAAAAAAATCCACGCGGACCAGGCAGCAGACGGGACTCGAACACGCACCCTTCGCAATCCGGCCGAATGCACTGACCAATTGCCGGCCGAATGCTGCCGCGGCCCTCACGGACCGCGTCGAAATTCCTTTAGCCATTCTTAAGCTGCAAGGCAGCGCCATCTCTTCGCATTATAGGTAACCCACAATTACGGGCGGGACGAATTAACGGATTGCAAAGGGTGCGGGTTCAAGTCCCGTCTGCTGCCTGGTCCGCGTGGAATTTTTTCTAGTTATATTTTCTTTAAAAACTTATTATCTTGAGCTCCTCCGTGCTTTAGAAGACACGTAAAGTCGTTGGTCCCGGCTGCATCTGCAGTCATTAGCGCCCACCAATCCGCACTGGGCCCGTGTGGTGGGTCACGGCGCAGTCTTAGACAAGCTGAAGTGCGGTTCATTTTCAGATTTGTTTGTGGTTCATTTTCAGATTCGCGTGGCGAGGGGACGGAACCGAGCGCGCTGTTGCGGGTATACAAATCTGCATGATGATGCAAATCTGTACTCCCCCCACGTTACGCTGCGTGATGCGGTGAAGTATGCGAATCTTCTAAGAGATTTGGGGTATAGTGGCTTTGCCACTTTTTGAATTGGAACTCCCGTCTTGGGAAGTAGCCTCAGCTGTAAGAAAGACCACAGTTAAATAATACTGCCTTTTGATAGCATTGTATTTCTGTTGGTGAGTTAGATTCTAGGGCTCCAAGGGGTAGGATTTGTTCAGCCTTCTTCCAGCAGTATTCGTGACTGTACTTAAACTTGATAAAAGACTTAGTGGGATAATTTGATGGGTCTGGTATACATAAAATCATGGTTTCATACAACGAACGATTCGAGTTAAGGCGAGTCGTTCGCAATACAAAGTGACAAGACCGTCGTCATCATCATCATCAGCCTATTAATGTCCCTACTACTGGGGCACAGGCCTTCCCTATGGATGGAATAGGGAGGTTGGGCCATGACCCACCACGCGGGTCCGGTGCGGATTGGTGGATGCTAACGACTGCAGATGTAGCCGGGACCAACTGCTTAACGTGCCTTCCGAAGCACGGAGGAGCTCGAGATAGTAATTTTTTGGTCACCCATCCAATGACCGACCACTGCGAAAGTTGCTTAACTTCAACGATCGCAGCCGAACGCGCTAACCACTTGCGCCATCGAGCTCCTCATGCAAGACCGATGACTGCTGAAATGTTCTCGAGTGACGACCGCCCGGACGACGCTCAGAAGGCTGGCTAGGCGACGACGATCTAATATAAGCCGTGAAGCCTAGCATTTGTGCGGAGATCTTTGGTGGCGGCCTATGCTCAGCACTAGGCGTCGTATGGCTGAATGACTAAAATGTAAGTAAGCCGGGAGTACCCAAAAACATAACGAATTGTAAAACTACCCCTTTCGTGTAAGGGGGGCCCGCTCATTACCATCCCATCTACGGAGTGTTGTCATTCCTAATTAGAACCAATTCCAATTAATTTACATACTACACAGCTTCGCTTAGCTAGTTCCCTTCGGTCCTGGTAAACATTAAGAAACTAGGTTTCCTGTTCCGAGGACTTTCCTTAAAATTGAAATCGAAATCAGACTATGCATTTGACTATTTATAAAGTAAAAATAAAATCCAATCGAAAAAATTGCGCGCTCCTGGATCTAAAGAGAGATTAGTTTTCAGTTTCATTATGATTCATGCGAATGTTTTTTTTGTATTTACTATACTATTTTAATTGAGGAGCTCCATGGCGCAAGTGGTTAGCGCGGTCGGCTGCGATCGTTGAAGTTAAGCAGCTTTCGCAGTGGTCGGTTATTGGATGGGTGACCAAAAATTTACTATGTCGAGTTCCTCCGTGCTTCGGAAGGCACGTTAAGCCGTTGGTCGCGGCTGCATCTGCAGTCGTTAGCACCCGCCAATCCGCACTGGGCCCGCGTGGTGGGTCATGGCCCAATCTCCCTATTCCATTTATAGGGAAGGCCTGTGCCCCAGCAGTGGGGACATTAATAGGCTGATGATGATGATACTATTTTAATGGCATTTTTTGTCAGCAAGTGGTAGATAACGACTCAGTGCAATATCAATCAAATGTAAGGCTCTACTTTCCGTTCACGGGGCGGTGAATATTTCTGATCGTTTTAACGGAATATAGTTGGTAAGAAATGAACTGCTAAAAAATTCTAAATGTTCTCACGTCAATTCATTTTCAACAACTGTTTTTCATAGGATATTGTAAAACAGAATTTCGTTAAATAAAATATTATTTTAATCGCTTAAATTTTTACACTCTATTGAACAAGGACTCTAGGTTTCACCATATTTCCTACACAGAGATATTGCAGAAATAGGGTGTTTGACAGTATTAAAAATAAAGTGCCAATTATTAGCATCTGTATTTAGAATGAATATTGGCAGGGGTTTTTACTATTTTTACAAAAAAATAATTCATAATTTTACTAAAAACCCACGAACTAGATAATATTTTTCTTATCTATTGTCACGTGACCCAAAACGCTTGGGATTGGCGGAGACTAAAATGACGTCACACGCAAGTAAACTTCCGGTAAAAGTGGCATTACATTGTATCGTTTGAATAACAGTCGTGTGACGTCACACACTAGTAAGACGCCATATTGTCCAGAAAAAAGTTTCCGCGGCAACTTGAAAATGGAGTTTTTGATTTGGTTATTTTACTGAAATACACAAGTATAGTTTACTAAGAATGATGAATATCTACTTTTACGGACTCCATAAACATTAGTCAATAACGTGAGATCATTTTCTAAAACTTGTCAAATACCCTATTGATTGTATTCTATAAAATAAAAACTTCTGCTGTTTTACAGTTAATAAAATAATTATTTAATACCATTTTTTTATTTAGTACGACACTATCTTATTTTAATCTTAGTCCTGCTAGTATAAAAATGAAAATTAGATAACCAGGTAAGGTTTTCGTTCAAATAAAACAATTGAAAACTGTTTCTATTTTCTTATTTCACTAATGTGCTGAATAAATACCTTATTACAACAACACTTAACATTAACAATAAATTACTTTAATTAAATAAAGTCGACGGGCTCGCGCTAAGCAGTCTTTAAGAGGTTCAGTCTTAAAAATTAAGTGTGGGCAACTCAGCAATGTCTTAAAATGCATATTGACTATCTGTACAAGGAGATATTGATAAGAGAATTTAACAGTCGGGCAATTTAAAACATTGCGATTGCTTTGTCTGTCAGACCACCACGCAAGGGAATGGATCAAGATAAAAGCGTGGTGGCCTGACATGAACTAAAATTGTTGCCACTTGATCCAGTATCTAAAGTTTGTTGTCCAATTATGTTTGAACCGGTTGCATCTGCATTGACATCGGCTCAGCTTCATACATTTGTGGCAAAACGTACATTGGCATTGCCATTGTGGAGGCGCTCAATGGCGGGGGTGATAGGCCAAATAGGACCCTGAAGTAGCGCGCGAGGTTCCATAAAACATTGGACGTCTCCGGTACCCTGTAGAATAACATTCGTCAGTAAAAAACCAAATTTACAACAAATGTGATTCAATATATTAGTTCGAATTTCGGTAATTGCTTTAACATCTTAGCGAGGTTTAAATTCTGGATCAAGTTTTTCTGATACAATAAAAATGCGATCGTTAAACTACAATGTTGCACATAATTTTGTTATAGCAATTACAGAATTAATAAATACAATACAAAAAATATGACATTGTTATATACACGAATACCCATGTTATATCTGAACATACACTGCAGTGTCTTTTTAATACCACCACCACAAATGAAAGAAATGCTACACATATGACAGGAATATAAAAAAGTAAGTGAATACAAATATTCGTTCTGGATGTCCAAGAACCATCCTTAGATCTAACAGTAGAGAAAATGCAATATTATGCTAACATCAAGTTTAATGTGTAGCATACCTTTGATTGATTGTAAACTATAAATGCTCTTACAAAACCATTAAATACCAGTACTAGGTACTCAAAATAATTTAAGTTATGACTTTTTATTTTTATTCATTTTTACTTTTGTAGTTCCCTTTGTTTTTTTGGTTGTTTTCTTTTTATCGACATTCTTACTTAAAGCATGTTCACTAACAGCTTCTTCCACGCTCAATAATCCATCAAAAATATCAAGACTCCAAACAAGTATTTCATAAACAATAGTGTAATACTTAGGAGGTTCTTTCGATTTCAGAGAACTTTTAATTACTGATTTGGCGTAATCTTGCGCACGTTTTACAAGAGAATCCATTATATTAGAATTAAAATACTCTTCAAACATTGTGAAAAGTCCTCTTGCAGATTCTACATTACTTCTTTCGTTGATGTCGCTGACTATACTAGAATTTCGAAAATAAAATTCATCATTTACAATGCTTCTCTTTACTCTTGATTTATTTGCAGCTCTGGTATCATTTCCCAATTGTTTGTTGTAAATTTTCTTTGGGATACTCATTGATAAAACTGGGTGTTCTTCCAATACTACAATAGGCTTCCATTCACTAGAATTGTTCAAAGCTGTATTAAAAGCATTTGAACTATAAAGATTTGATGAATTTGATGCAACAGCATCTTTCCTGTGATATCTGAATCTATTAGTATTCGGCTTCGGTGTTAAGCTATTTGGATTCACGAAGTACTTGACTTTGGGATAGTAAAACGTATTTGGGTAGTTATATTTATATTTTTTCGTTTTGATATAATCGTGCAAGTCCTTATTGTCCTTGAGACGTTCCAGATTGATTTTCAACTCCGTGTATTTCTTTGGCCTGTAGGGTTTTCTGTACGTCATTTTCCTCTGAGCTATGAGCCGTGGCTGCGGGACTAGTATAACCTTGGCCTGGGTGACACTCTCTTGTGGTTCGGGCTCGAAGCTTTTCGACTCTGTAGTGACATCGGAACTGAGACCCCTGAATGTAGCCGGCATGGAATAGAAGACGTTAGCGATCGGGTTGACGAAGCTCCTGAACGTTTCGAGGACTGGTTCAATGAGTTTGAGCAGTTTCGACTTACCGTCCCATCGCTCCGCAGCTCGCGTTGTGTTCACTAGCTGAAGTGCGGGCGCCTGTTGCGACTGCTGAGCACTCGCATCTGGTTGTTGTAAGAGCTCGTGTGCTTGTTGCTGTGCACCCAGAGCGGTTGGGCTATACAACTCTGGTGATGCGAATTGCGGGCTCACTCCACTGACGGAGTACGCGTGCGAAGAGGCGCTCGGAAAGTCAATCGGATATTGTGAATAAAGGTATGGGTGGTTTAAACCGACGCTGGAATGTAAACAGATATTGCTTTAGGTTCATTTCTAACGCGCACTATCGTCAGTCGTCCAGTCCAGTCGAGTTCCTAAGTCGGTTGAGTCCTCGTTTGTCAAGTTAGCTGCCTGTGGGATTTAATATTTATAGAAAAAAGAATCAATTTGTCATTATTGTCTTTATATAGAGTAAATAGTAAATAGTTTGTGCAGTTATGTATGAAACAGTGAATCCTAAAACCCATTTAGAGTACATGAAAAAATATATGTAGATTATTGATGTTCTCGGGTTGTTATAATATTACATAGTCAAAAATATTGACGATCTCTAATCTTAAGATACACGTAAAATTGTATCTGGATATTAAAAAAAATCTTAAAACCAGTATTCCTTTTTAACTTAAGTCTCAGTTAAAATTACAATTTAATGAATCGATGACAACAATTAGTCGAAGAAACGATTCTCTAATTAGCTTCACTCTCAATTAAACTTTCTACCAATAATTTTATGTAAAACACCGTTAGCTAGTTTACAAATAGATTTAAAACATTGCATGATACAGTCACGTAAAAAGTTTTTTATGTTAGTTTTTCCCAACCAACATCAGGCGATTTTATGTCAATAGAATCAGTCACGTTAACATTGCGGTCGAGTGAAATTATGTACATACTTTCGAGGAATCCATACGATCATCAAAGTGTGAAAGTTAGAAAGAGCACGCATCACATCGCATGTGCCAGGAAGAATTCCAGTTTTTTATTCTCTTTTTAGTCGCTTTACGGAACTTTCTTCCACTGCTCATGATAATTATGTACATAGCTTTAATACGTGCCGTGCGTCTCAGTCAGTCCAGTTACGCCACAAATATACATTTTAATGGCACTTACAACGTATTCGTAGTTGCTTTATTGAATGTCGACACACTTTAATATCCTTAATAGAGCATGATAAGGATATATTGCTATTGTCCAAATTACAAATAGCACATACGAATAGCCATATAAAGTGCAAGTTTCAGACAAAGTCCAAAGTGTTAAACACGGGAATGAGGTATCCCGTGCTTTACACTTAAGGTTGTAATTGGTAATTACATAACGGAAATGAATAATATTGACGAAAACCGTAATGTCAATCTTGATAACTGTAATTCATTGAGCATTAGAATTGATAAAAAAAAACGATTGTCGATAAAATTTATAATATTTTGAATAATAATGTAAAAACTCAAAACATTATGCTTATGGCAATCTAATGAATGACGCCTCCTTGGAAGCAAAGGAAGATAACAAAAATCGCTTGAATCTTAGCGACTTCATATTTAGGGTGACCAATATTTTTAAAGACTTTAAATATGTAATTGAAAGAGTAATTGTAAGAGTAAACTACATATCAGCAGTTATGGAATAACTTTTTCAGAGTAATCACCTTTAGATAAGTAGTCGTAATCTGTTCTATTGACTGCATTACAATTTATATGATAAACAGTAAAAATAATAATAAATATTTTTGTTTTGTTATTAAGGTAAAACTCTAACTAGAGCTTTAGATTCTGTGCTATTATTTCATGATCATGATAATATATAACTTTATCACATTTCCATATAATTTCTTCAATATTGTTCACTTCCCAAAATATTATAAATTCTTGAAATTTAATAAAACTTTGGACACTCACCCGCTACTATATGATTCGTATAGTTTTTTGGCTGCCATGCCGACAGTGACGAGTAGGGCGACTTTACTGGCAATGTAGGCTTTCAGGGTCAAAACGGTGACTATTGCCATGGCGAAGATAACTACCGCCGCTGATTTCATTCCAAACAGAAGAGGAATAACGGCCATGAGGATTTTTTTCTTATGCCTCCTTCCTGGAAAACATGAAAAACAAATCATAAGAAACCAACATCACACGTATTTGCTGCTACTTAATAAAAATCTTTGCGCAGTGCAATGTATAGATAAACTCCAGTTTCCTAAGATACTTGAAAAATTTTATATACGTGAATATGTAAAAATTAAAATGTGCGCTCTTTATAATTTTGGTAAATATTTGGTGATAGAAAACGGTACGATGTTTGGTGTTCTCCAATCCATCACATTAATTATTGTCAGAGTGTTAAATCTTCTTGGACTGTATGGAAGCCTTCATGTGCAAATCATACTCACAAGTAACTAGATTTATTATTTTACAATATTTTTTCCGTGCATCGATTCATCCCATGACCCCGTGTAGCTCTGGAACCTTAGTCATGGATAGAGACACAACATACCAAAAGCAAAAACGATAAGTTTTTGCACTGCGATTTTTTCTGTGTTGTATATTATACTTTCCCATACGGGCGCTTCCATTTGAGCTATGGCTATATTAATATTAAGATATTTCCTAATCTTGCTGTAATCTTGTCCAATATATATGATTAAGGTCAGTGTCACTAACTCTTGACATTGACAAATTGACCTCGAACTAAGCCATCGAGTTGCTCTATGAATAAATCGATTGTTCGATAAATTTACTGTGGCAGCTCCCATGGGAAATCTTAGCTTCTTCTCTATTGTAATACAATTTATCTCGGATAAACCTATTACAAGTGCGGGAATCTGGATAGATTGTTTGCGTTGATTTGTCCTCGATTAGGATTTGAATGTAAATTTAGCACACCACTCTGTATTTGGGATATTTTCCTTAATGATCAGATTTCTTTAACAAATTGCTGTAGTCACTACTCATATAACATTCCCTATAGTATAGTTTAAATTAATTTCAATTTAGGCATTAGGAGGTTAAACAAATTTTGGTAATCAATACAATCGTTTCTTTCATTTCCACATATTTCAAACGTTGAGGAGAAAACTGTTTAGCTACTTGTAGTGAAGGAAAAAGTAGAAGGCATAAGAGAGAATCTGCAGGTATCACCAGTCCAAGGATTGATGAAATCAAAACTGTTCTCAGTGGTTCTCTCCACGATTTTACAAGAAGCGATGCTGTTGGTATAAAAGAAATGGCGAGGTAAAGCTTGCCCTGATGGGACGACCACGGACATGTAATTAAAGAATGTGATGATGAAGAACAAGATCACTTTCATGATAAAATCTAGTTGGATTTACAGGCGCCAGTTCACACTGTAATAAGAACAGTTGCCTAAAGACAGGCGATAATACTATACTGCGACCCCGGTATTTAAATCTGCCTTAGATAAGTATAGGCCAAAGCATAGGGGACAACAATACGCTGATAGTCACCATTTTTTTTATTGTGGATAAACATTAGTAGATCACCATCACAATTTTATATGGTATATTTATGTTTGATAAAAATCAATTACTTTTACAAGCAATAACTAAATTGTTGAAGCGAAAATATTTATGTGGCTGGTGTTGGAACGCCTGATGAATATTGAGGGTCAATATTATATCTCTACAAGTTTCAAGACTAACCTTCTATATGCTTATATTAATAAACTCCGTCATTTGGTCGTCATATTTTATATGAATTTCTATATCTCCAGCATAATTATATATAGTTTTCATTATATTTTATTCAATACAAAAAGGAACGACATGTTCCTTCGTTGTTTTTGTTTAGTTAAAAATAAGTTTTATGCTTCACATCTACCAGGGGGCCAATTGCCTAACCGGATTGCTTTGGAAAACGCTATCGCTTACGATTTCATTTTATTATTTCTAGCTGCCTGAGGTTTTCAAATGCCTCGCGCTCTTTTTTTTTCTTTTGCATTGGCAATAACAATATTAAATAAAATGAGCGTGAGGTATTTGAAAACCTTCGGCGGTCAGATATAACAAAAGGAAATCGTAAGCGATAGCGTTTTCCAAAGCAATAAAGTTAGGCGATTGGCCCCCAGTTGTGTCGCAATGGTTAACTTTTTCATTTAAGTGCTCATTGAAATTTGGATCGATATTACCTGCGTGACTTTACGATAAGTACCCTTTTTTTGTGTCTGAAAATGATCCAACGGCTCTCTCGTCCACTGAGAGTAGCGCGTAGTAGTACTAAGGTATTTGAGGATTCCTTCCTGCTCATTTCACCTAGCTTATGAGATGTACTACCCAGTAAAACCAAGACAATATTCCTGCATTAGTCCAGGCAACGAATGCTCAAAAACAGGTATAGAGGGAAATGCTTGGAACACGTCGCTCATTCAGTTCATGTCGCTAGGATGCATAGTTTCCGAGATATATGCGAAAAACCTAAAAATGGGACCTTCAATCCCCCCCCTTCCCCCCGGCTTAAGGGCTACGGGCGGGGACTTTTGATATGTTTACCTCCTAACTAGTCCTAACAAAGTTACGAAGTGAAAAATTGTGTTCTAAGCATTTCCCTCTATACCTTTTCGTTGCCTGGACTACATCTACCTCCCGATATATATTTCGGAAAACAAAAGATTTTCCAGTCAGATGAGCTTTATATGAATTCAATTTAATACTCTAACAGTAGGTATTTCACGGCCTTGAAGTATAGGACAAGATCACAAAATAACCCAAGAAGTTGTGTAAGTAATATATTTAAAGAAAGCTGACTGGATAGGTACATTTCTGCCGCATCAGGCTCCAGGCCTAGCTCTTCTAAAGACTCCAGGATATAAGAAATTAGGACCACGTGGCCCAATGCTACCACTCTTACTATATGTATCCATGCTAATACTATAAATGTTATATGTGACCTTTTCTCGCTTAAACCGCTGAAAAGAACATAGGATGGTTTTTATTCCAGAAATCATCTTTTTCATCTTTTTCCACTCAGACGAAGTCGCAGGCACCAACTAGTATTATATAACGCGTTTATTCATGAAACCGACTTTGTAATCATTTCTTCGCAATTATCAAGCAAAACCTCTTTGTTCCCTTGTTTTGTGAGAGGAGGGTGGCAAAGAACAAAAGATGGCGGTATTGCCATGTACAGAATGTCTTAATTAAATTCTTTGCTTTCAAATTGTATATCCGAGCGGGAAGTATCCGGGTGGTTGCAAACAAGAGACAAAATATCAGGCTCCTACTACTGTTTTAGCGGTATTTAGTTCAATTAGAATTATGGTACTTTTAAAATAGCTAATATCTTTGTTTCCTTTTTATGTTAAAAGGCTGTCAAACAAATATATGGTCCGTCTGATGGTAAGCGGCCACCACAGCTTAAAGACACTTGCGATACCTAAAAATACTCAGAGCCTTGACCACCGAAGACGTGTAGCTTGCCTCTCGGTGTTTTATCGGTTACATTTCGGAGAGTGTGCGGAGGTATTACATAATTTGATCCCCCCTTCCCCTTTCCACCACCGAACGACCAAACGCGGCGAGGGCTTCCACCCTTATGTTGTCGAAGTTCCTCCCATTCGCACGAAGCGATTTGCTTCGGCCTTCATTATGTGAACGGCTAGGGAGTGGAACTCCTTGGCGAGGTCTATTTCCCGGACCAATATAATCTGGACATCTTCAAGGCCAGAGTGAACAGGCATCTTTAAGGCAGGCGTGTACCATCCTAGGCCTCATCATCGCTTTCCATCAGGTGAGATTGTGGTCAAACGCATTGCCTATTTTGCATAAAAAAAATATCAAACGCGCCATTGCTTACCCAGACCCAATCCCTTACCCTTTGGAGTCCTGGAACCTTACTCACCAACAGAAACATAAGACCATCAAAAGGAAGTGTTATTTCACTGTGTTCTTCTGTATAGTGGAGGTTACTTCCCCAGAGTGGCGCTCCGATACGAGCGGCAAACCCGCTATCATCATCAGCCTATTAATGTCCCCACTGCTAGAGTAGAGGCCTTCCATATGGAAGGAATAGGGAGATTGGGCCAATACCCACCACGCGGGCCCAGTGCGGATTGGCGGGTGCTAACGACTGCAGATGCAGCCGGGACCAACGGCTTAACATGCCTTCCGAAGCACGGAGGAACTCGAGGTAGAAGATTTTTGGTCACCCATCCAATGACCGACCACAGTGAAAGTTGCTTAACTTCAACGATCGCAGCCGAACACGCTAACCACCCGCGCCATCGAGCTCCTCGAAATCCGGTATGCCCAACCTCTTTAAAGGCTCCTGTTTCTGTGTATGTAATCGAACTCCTAAACGATTCAAATTTATGTGACAGAAGCATGGAGTTCATGTCGTGTGACATACACAATGGATTATATTTTGTCATTTTATGAATGTTAGCAATGCTACTATAAGTTTACAAGTTAGAAAACATGATAATTTGATTAAAGTATCTAGATGATAGGCCACCTGAACTTATGAAATGTGACTTTATATTGAGGGCGGATTTGAATAAGTATTAGGTAATTTGGAATTTGGGAGTGAGCGGCGGGCTGGTACAGCTAGCCACACCGAGAGTTAAACCAAACTGACAAATTTTCCCAAAAGATTATGAATCGTATATCGAACGATAGAAAGCTCAATGTCATTTGAAGAAAATTATCAGTTTTGGGTAAATTCTCTCTGTATTAGTGGTACCTACCTATCCCAATGTGATATTCCGTTTGGAACAATGCAAATTTCGTAAGCCTTGAGGTGTTACAATTAGAGGGTTGATGTTGATTTCGTGACGTTCGTAGCTTTGACACTCTACTGAACTGGAAGGTTCTGGAGTATCGTCTTATTCAAATGTAAGTAAGAACTAAGGAGGGACTCCTCCTAAGGGATATGAAGGGTACAATACGAAGATCTGGCAAACACAGATAAACGAATTAATGGCCAGAAACAAAAGATACTAACAATAAGTAATGTCTTGTTGCTGATCGTGCGGTCGTTCAGAAAAAAATATTTAATAGTATATAAAATCCCACCAGTTCGTCATCTATATAAAAATATATATATATATAAAACTCAAAGGTGACTGTCTGACTGACATAGTGATCTATCAACGCACAGCCCAAACCACTGGATGAAATTTGGCATGCATTGCATTTTGATCAAATCTACCCCCAAGGTGATAAAATACGGAATGAAAGTTTGTATGAAACTTTGTCAATTTTAAACCGATCGGGCTAAGACTTTGCATGCAGGTATAAGAAGAATCATAGATGGATGTCATTGTGTATAATACAAGCCTGGGAACAAAAACTGTAGTCTACATTTCAGCTCTACACCGAAGCGAAGCGAGGGCGGGCCGCTAGTATACTTATATATGTACTGTATATGTATTCTATCCGTTACCCTAGTATCCCATAACACAAGCCTTACAGTGCTTAATTTGGGGGCTTGGCTAATTGGTGTGAGTGTCGGAAACATTTATTTATTTTATTTTATATCTGTTGAGTAGCAATGTGAATTGAGTCAAGAAAAAAATTTTAAAATTTTCTAAATTCCTGTGTAATTCACTTATTTTTTCCCCGTAAGAAACTTTCAAAGTATTAGAAAACTTTGAGTAAAAGATGG